CAGACATACTGGGTCCAAATCTAAGTTATATTAGCATAACGTTTATCCTGCTTTTTTATTATAAAGGACTCAAAATACCATATGAATAGATGATTTCTGAAGTTAATGAAGTCTCTGTAACAACTTTGTTCCTTAGACCTTAGCTCCTTAGTGGGTATAACGATTCTTCTGTGTTATTAAAATTCCCAACTTTTTCAGTCCAGAGGGTAGCATGATCATAGCTGTGGGGAAGGGCTACAGAGCAATCAAGAAAGAGGAATGTAATTATGGTGAACCACAGATATTTTTGAGACTGTCATCCCTCAGTATAACAGAGTGACAAATGGACTCTCTCAACCTGTCCACATTTTTGACTTTTAACAGAATCCCTAAATTTAATTTAATTAAAAGAAGTGTGATTCACCAGTATTTAGATTTAGACTTATTTATACCACACTTAAAATATAAAGTATTATGGAGATGCGAAAGAAGAAAATGTTAAAACATCAAAGCAGTTTGTATTGCAGATGATCTGACAGGCAACATATCATTTGAAACCATGAGAGATACAGCAGCGCTAGCTGTAAGTTTTCTGATCTTCAAATCGTTCTTCAGAAAATTTCACAAGTAGAAAGCAATTGAATTAGTGCCACGGCACATTCAGTTTTACAAAGATGAACAGAAATTCCATTATTTCTTATGGCTTACCAGAGAAAGCAGCTCTGAAGATTTCAACCCATTTTCTAGTTCACACAATTTACTTTAGCTACTGACCAAAACTTCCTATTTGAATGTAATAATTGTACTGTGATCTCAAACAATATGATGCAACAATGTGACTTCATTTAATTCTGCTCTAGAATCAAGTGGAAATTGATCTACTGCATAGCAGTAAGTTAACAGAAAAACATGAAACTGCATCAAGAAAGCCTGATCAATATACTTCAGTAAGAGCCTGAATGAGAGATGCGGGACTCCAGGCGGCTCTTGAAAATGCAGTTTATTACATCCAAAACGTTACAACAGTCCAGGGTCATGGGTGACAGAGCCTGTGCCTACAGCTCTCAGCTCCAGCTGCAGGCAGGCCTGGAGACCCTTAGCTTAGGTTACAAATGCATTTTCTTTGCTGAGCATCTTAATAAAATAGAACCAATCTATACCTTAACTTTTATCTACAGCCTATCATAACTACTACAATTACCATATTCATGTTACTCTTCTCCAATCACTAAAAGTTAGTACATTACAGTTTAAGCTAGAAGTTGTTTTTCAGTTTTCTTGCAGTGGAAAATTCTGAGACCTTTTTTCTGCTTGCAACATCGACAGGCTTGTTTGCCTGTGCTAGTTTTTTGCTTGGTAAAAACATCTTCCTGTTTGAGGTGGGCTTATCTTTGCTCTAAGTCATAAAAACCCCTTCTAACTCACATACCCTTTGCCTCCTTGGTTATCCAGTAAGACTGGCTCAGCAATTATTTTCTTCTCTATCAAAACTTGCTTTTGTTTCTATTCCGTCTTCAGATTCTACATTCAAAAATCTTTCTGCCAAGCATACACATCTGTGAGCCTTTTTTGTCAAACTTTCATCCTTCCCAGCACTTCAGAACTTAAATGGCAAAGGCATTATATTTTTCCTACACAGTGGAAGTGTCAGGTAATGCTCTGTTGAAGAGTGCAGTTTATTACCTATTGCATACAGACACACACTTGCCAAGTCCTCTGTTTCAGTGACAGGCAGCCCCATTCAGAAATGATTGATGCTTCCATATTTATAAAAACTATGCTACAGTACCAGAGTTGCTAAATATAGTAGCACAGAGAAAAGGCCATTTGCTTTAGACTCCACAACTAAATTCTTATCTCTAAACTTCCCTTTCAACCAGACAAGCTGTTACCTTGTTCTATGTCATACATGGCCACTTTTTAAAGGGTTATGAGCTCTCTTGTGGAAAAATAGTGAAGTGACACAAGATATGCTATTCTGTTGCAGAGCACTGCATCCTATGGCAGATCACCAGATTCTTAGATGCCTATTCAATTCCTCTCCAAATTTCAGAAATTGTAGGGATTTCTTTTTTTCTCTACACAAAAACCAGCACTGCAACGTGACTGAACTGTGGCACTTTTGTTAATCTTTCGATTACAGGTATAGACAAAGGTCAGTGTGAACTTTGAGTAACATCTAAAAACTGTACAAAACGAGAGTGTACATATTGAGGTATGTCTATGGCATGAAAATGTAAGGTTTAAAAAGGATTTGGGTTTACAGTCGGAGATCTTATTGCAATTCCTGCACAGCAGCAACAATCTCTTCCTCAAATATTAAGATAAGAAATACTAAAAATCAGAAATGTGCAATAATGTTATGCTATCAAAATTACTGTCTTGAAACAAAATTATCATATAGCTTAAGCTCTCTAGTCACCTTTCCCAAGGGAAAAATGATTTATTGCTCTCCATAATGTATCTTCCACTTACCGGATTAATATCTTATTTAACTTCATTGCCACCCATCCTTCTCTTCCCTTACTATTCCTCAAAGCTATTAAAAAAGAAATAGAAGATTCACAATGAAAAAGAAAACACACATCCTGAAACACCCCAAAACAGAAGGAAAAAACTAACAGCACTCAGTAGGACCCAGTACACAAGTGGTGCAATTTGCACCATGTAGCTTGACATGTCCTAAGATGCATGGAATTTCTGAAATATTTGAAAATTGCCAATAGTAACTGTCAGCACTTACCACAATACAGAACCACAGAATTTTCACAAACATTAGAGGGTGACAAAGATATGTCAATATATACAGATTAATTTACTCTCATATGCACACATGCACACACATAATAAGTTAATAGACAGATGGGCAGACAGCTGCCTCATTTCACCGACACAGTCATCAAAAAGTCCCTGGTAGTTAGACACCCTGAAGACTCAGGATCCCTAGACTGTATTTCATGCTGAATGGAAACACACTTCTGAAGACCTCCAGAGCCAGACACAGATGATTTATTTTAACTGCCTACTTCTCTCTACTGAATATGTAAGACACTGAGACAAAAACATCAGCTTTTGTTCTGTTGGGATCTAGTCCACCCCTTTAAGGCCAACCTCAACATACTTTAAGAAGAGGCAGGCGACAGCAGTGACAAAATCCATGACATCTGCTCCATTCTCTACACAACCCAACAATCCCCTTTCTGCATGACTCCTGAGATGTCTGTCCAGTTGCCAAAGTAGCAGAAGAGATAATCACACTCCTAGCCGCCTAGCCCAGCCTCATCTAAATATAAAAGGAATGCCTAAACATTTGGTGGTGAGATAGGCACTCTGTCATACTGTAATTCAGATTGGAAAGGACCTTAAAGAAGTGTCCGGCCCAAAGTCCTGCACAAAACAGGGTCAAAACTGAATTCAGATCAGATAGAATGTCTTACTATGCACCTAGAATTCCAAGCTGAAAAAACATCAGCAGCATCTTATTGTTTTTGAATCTGTAATCACTCAGCTTTAATTTTAGTTAGCAATGGTTGCAAGTCTTCAAAAATTAGTGGTAAATTCAATAGCATGTTTTTCCACAAATAATTACTTCAAGGTTAAACAAGTGTTTAAATCCAAATAATACCAGAATCCATGCAACATTCTCTCTGTTATACCTCTTTACATAAAAGGAAAATAAAGACAAAACTACTAAAGACTAAAGCATGTACTTCAAAAATATGTGTAAGTGTATAAGTGTGTACGATACATAAAATAGATTTTGCTTTTAAGTATATGCTTTGAAAAGTATTTGTTTAAATGCAAATGATGGACCAAAGACAGCATACCAAATTTAGCATATTGTAATATGTTCCAAACTCTAGGTTAACTCTCATGGTACTAAGAAAAAGATAATAAACAGAATTTGAAAGGAAGAACAAAGGCAGAAAAGAGATTAAAAGATTTCTCTGTACATTTTATCAATGATTCCCTGATTGTAACGTCCTTTGACAGCTGTGTTAGGCAGGCTAAATGGCAAAACTCCCAAAAGGTGGAGAGCAACTCGCAACTCCAGCTTGTTTTTAGCATTAGACAGCCTAAGTTAAAAATAAAAAAGAAGAGGCGGCTTTAGGGCTCCAAAGTCAACTTTGCATTTCAGGACCCCATTCTGCTAATTATTTCAGCAGGTTAAAAACAAGAGAGTTACCAGAAGGACAACTTCCCAAGCCTGTATGAAGTTACCATGTTATCCTTTCCAATGAAGCAGTGATAAAGGTTAATAAGCACATACTAACAGACAAATAACAAGACTTTAGGGCTTTGTCCTCAACACATGTAAACTCTGTGTCTCCTTCCACCACATACAACCTCCTATCTCTATCTTCTCAGCTCCTTAACCAATTTCTGCATTAACTTATGCACAATTAAATCAAAAAGAAACTAATAGTGTCCGAAGAGTAATTGCAAAAAGGAAACCCCACCACCCGTCCAAATAACTATTATTTATCAGGTAACCTCCTGTTGTTTATTAAAACAACTATGGTTCAACATGCAATTTTTTTTTCAATCACATTTACAAACTCAAGAGTCTGAAAAACTAGATCTGAAAAAAGAATCTCAAAATCTCAAAAACAAACTACCCAAGAATACTACTAGAAAAAGACAAAGAATATAGTGGGTGGAAACAGTGGTATAAAAAAAAAATCTCTTTTGTAGCACTCCAGGCATTAATTTTGCATTTTAGTATGGCCTAAGTTAAAGAAGTTAAAAGGAATGTGAAGTTACATGTTTACAATTAAAATCAAAGCATCTCACTAGAATGATTTCTTACTTTTTCTCAAATATAATTTTTTTAAAGGCACAAATTCCAAAAGCAAAGCAGTTTCTAATCACCTGCATGATTCAGTACTCCTTACCTGAAAGTATAAAGCATAGGGAGAAGCTAAAAATTAATAGATAACTTTTATTACATCATAAAGAAACAAAGATATAAATCAAGAAAAGTACGGACAAGTTTGGAAACAAAAAGCAGAAAGCTTTACCTTGAAAAGCAGCTGCATTATGAGATATTAAAAATTTTAATGTAGCACTTGATGTTTGAAGCACTTGCCGTATGTCTTGCTTTGCTGCAATCTGATACCTTTCTTCCATCTTTTTGGTACAGCATGTTGGATTTTCAGAAGTACAAATCTGGAGATCAACACCTAAAGAAAAGGCAGTTACACTGATTAATATAAAACAAAAGTATGCAAAACACAAACACCAAAGAGATTTTTTTTTTTTTACATGGGTATTGACACACAGAAGAAATACCAAAGCTTTAAAAGATTTGGTCTTGATCAACAGAAGGGGACACTAATTACAATTCTGGGAAGAATACACTTATTACAGTTAATTAAAGTCACATAATGTAATTTCCCTGACAATGTAATCTTGTTCCAGCTGTGAATATTGCTAATTAATGTTCGTAAAATATGTTGAATATGCATTGTACATCACGATACAGGTGGTAGATGTCTCACTCCTGGAAACACTCAGGATCTGCTTAGATGGGGCTCTGGGCAGCCTCATGTAGTTGAAGATGTCCCTGCTCATTGTAGACTAGATGACCTTTAGAGGTCCCTTCCAACACAAACTACTCTGTGATTCTATGATCCTCTAGAATACTGAACTGCTGGAGCAGCTCATGGCTGCCACTCCTGTGCTTCTGTGACTCTTGGACTAGAAAAAGCTAACTACTTCCAAACATTACAAACACACCAGTGGAAAGCCCATTCCTGACAGGTGTATAATGAACATGCTAACATTAACTTCTACATGGAGCAGTCCTAACATCCAGTCTAATCTCCCTAACTGTGTCTCTAATGCCAAACATTCCCATGAATCCATGACATCGACTCCCTACTTCCCAAATAGGTTGGGAGACACTTCTACAAATGAGTATTTTTTTTAAATTTTGGGCATACTAAAATCCCAGAGGGAAAATTCAGTACTTTTATAATGTTACAACTGGAGCATAATCAAGCATAAAAAGCATTATTCACCTTCCTCGTTATCATGTGGTTATATTCAAAATCTTTTTCTTTTTTAATACTGTATCTAAACAATGCTTTCTAATATAAAGAACAAACATATCATGAAAGAATAAATACCAGAATTTAAATTATATTAATATAAAACTTAACAGTCCAATCCAAACTGTGGTCTCAAATATGTTCTTTCACTGACTGATACGACAAGATTTCGCAGAAACATAGTGAGAAACTTATTTGCATGACCTTTCAACTTCTACATTTTAGTTATTAACAAATAATACACAAGGTAACTGTTCACATGCAGTTCCCTGTGTACACAGGCACAGACATGGATAATACTTGTCTAATACTAAAATGAAATAACCTAAAAATTAGGTCTATTACCCAAACTCTTCTTAGTATTTTAAATAATCGTTAGGCACTGCTTTGCCACTTGTAAAGCAGAAGTATAGATATACAGATATACTTTTAAAGCAGAAGATACACATCCTACTGCTACAGGAGCTAATTTGAAACTTTATCAAGGCTTTATGGACTTGAGTACAGCTTCAAGACTTTCAGCAAAACCCAAAAATAATAATGAATATTCGTATACGGCTTCAGATGAAACTTCAGTATTATTTTATTTCCTTGATTTTATGAAAAGTATTTTTAAGCAGCATCATTTGAACACGGATCTCATTCCCAACCCTAAGTGAATTTTGTTTCATAGTTTTAAGACTGCTAATCATGTACATATGAAGTACATTTTATTGATCTACTTTTGTTCCAGCTCATTAAACACAGCTGCTTTCACTGGCCAGGAAAAAGTAACCAAATACAACATACAAAGAACTCAACTGACCAAAAACTGAACTGTTGCTCAAAACCCATGGAGTGGTTTTCCATTTGTTTTTTAGAGATCTACCGAACAAGGAACAGCTTACAGATAATGTTTCAGAAGACACATAAACCAGAATGTGAAACAGGTCCTTCCATTTCAATACAAGCAATATTAAAAAACCCACACAATTATTTTCTGAGTTTTCACATCTAAAAAACTTTCCATCTTCCACAAGAACTGTTTTATCAATAACCAATTTTGAAATAGAGGGAGAAAACACTTTCTACTCCAACAAGGCATACTGGCTCTTTTCAGTACCAAATTCTGATGGCTCTACACTGTGATCCACTTTGAAACAAGATCAAGACAGCTAGAAGTGAAATACCTTAGCCTGTAATAAAAATATATTGAAGTAAACAGTTATGGTATAAGAAAGGTTTTAAAACTAAAAATAATTTAGATGAGTCTAGGAAAGACAGTTTGAAGAAGAAAAATGTAATTGTTCTAAGGTGCAAGATTACCTATCTGGAACTGATTTTAAACTTTTATTTGTGGTCTCAGCTGTACAAATCTGTATTTTCAGTACCTTGAAATAAACAAATGCTGACAGGATGAGGACATGAACTGCCAGGAAGGGCAAATGAGAGATCTGTGGTAAATTTCTGTCTATTCAGACTTCCAAGAGACCAGTTCCAGGGTCTGAAAAAACCCAAAACAGACTTAGGATTGTCATGACAGTCTTTGAAAAGCCAGCACTGAAATGCCATATGGCTTGGACACAATTGTCAAATGAGTGGTTTATTTCAAAATGGATTTGGAACCTGTATCAGACCTAAGTCCTTCTCATGCTTATCCTTTAATATTTATAAACTTATTTTTGTTACAAGCACCACTCCAGATTCAGCATTACTTGCTATCACTACAATTGTTGTAAAGTACTTCAGCTTTGCTCAGTAAAAGAGATGGGAATCAGTCTCACGCACCTGGCCCTGACTGTCAACACTGTTGAGCTATCATCTCCCTTTTTTCTGTGGCTCTATTCAGCAGGAGTATTTCTCTCACCTGCACATCAAGAGATGGTGAATTCTATATACTGCTTTCAAACAGCACTGCAGACAATACTGTAGTACAAGTTTGGCTCCTTCCTTATACACTCCAAGCTCATCTTCCTGCCTACTAAGAAGCACTCCAGCAAGGTGAAACCATCCCTTCATACATTCGCGCTACAGATCACAGAACAAAACATGTCATCCTCTCCCAAAAGCCCTCCCATTTTTGAGACTGCTTGAATTTCAGGGCAGGGGACCCCACAGTGTCTTGGCATTACAAAAGCATCGTACTGGTTCCCAGTAAGATTCACGAGAAAATCCCATTAAGAGAGGACAGTCCATTCCTTCTACAGGACACCAGTCTCAAGCAATGTAGACATAACCCTGTCTGCACCACTCAGCATGAGAGTCAGGAGGCAGTTCTTGAGCTGCAACACCTTTCAGGCCAACCCAGCCAGATCAACATCACTGAGTACTGACGACTTCCTAGAGAAGCTGAAAGATTGGACATTGAGATAGGAGAACTGCTATATACCTGAGTCCACTTTTTTGTTGATTTTAATCACAAAATATTGTCAAATTTCTTTTCACAGTGATCATTTTGTGGATCCAGAGGTGAAATGTTCACACACATACAAAATTATGCTGTTGGCAACAGTCCTTACAAAAACAGATGCGATATAATGAACATCGGTAACTGATTTGACAGAGCAATTCACTTTCTGTCTGACTAAATCACACTCCAGAGCTCTGAATGCCCATTAAAAAAATAGAGTAGTTAGAAGTGTCCTACCTCCATACAACAAAAGAAAAAAAAATTAATTTGACTTGAGGTAGAACCAAAATCCAAATTACTGGAATGTAAATTATACTAGAAACCCAAATTAAAATTCAAATATGATCTTGGAATTGCATTAAAGGAACCTGCTGGGTTTTAAACTGACTTCTATAATTACTTTAAGGGGAATTAGCAAGACCATTTTAACCTGAATTAACAATAGCACCACAGACCAACTTTTTTCTGACATTATCTCATCCTTCCAGCATGGTTTTTCTCATTTATTCAACTTCATATTCATTATGGTTCTCTACCAAAAAGCCTTTAGAGTAAAATTTTAAATAATGACAGTCTTCACACTCTTTTATGCTTCTTGTTCTAATAATTGCACACATGATCTTCCAATGTTTGCTGAGAAGAAGCCTAGATTGATCCCTGAAAAAATAAACCAACCCAAAACCAAAAAAGCAAACAAACAGAAACCAACCAAAAACAAACTGCTGAGAAAAAATATCTCCAGCACTTTTTTCACCCCACTTCATTGGAAATTGTTTGATTCTACAGTGACAGTAAATGTAACATTTTTCAATAAACCACAGAATTCAGTTTTATGGTGCAAAGAGAAGCCTGAAAATTTGTTCACTGAAATATCTACTGGAGGCTCTCTGTTAAGAAGGCAGGAGTGAATGGTTTACCAGCCATCCTATTCTGCTGTTACTAAAATCATACCATAGAATGGTCTGGTTTATAGAATATCTAGTTACAACCCTCCACCATGGGCAGGGACATATTTCATTAGACCAGGTTTTTCAAAGCCCCATCAAGCCTGGCCTTGAACACTTCCAGGGACAGGGGATCCACAGCTTCTCTGTTCTAGGTATTCTGAGGGAAAGAAACCAGAGAATAAATATTATTTGCAAGCAAGATAACAAGAAGAGCTCAGAGCTCCCATTCAATCGGTCTGAAAAAAAAAAAAAAATGAACCGCTGAAATTAGCTAAAAACTCTAGATTTACTAGCATATAGGGTAAAAGAGTGTAAATCTTTAAAAGAGTGGAAATCTTCAAAAAAGTTGCTTAGGTTACAATACCAGAAATTATATAAAATACCTTGAACATAGGAAATAAAAATATGTTTAAAAGAATTTTGCAGACAACAACTTCTTTTTCTTTTTTTTTTTTTTTCAAATAATCCAAGTCATATTGATCCACAAAAATAAAAAAAAAATAAACCTCCAGACTGAACCTTTGAGTACTTTTTATATTTATTTCATTCTTCATATAGCAAAAAAAGAGTGGCTTTTTGGATTCTTAATTACTAAGGTTATTCAGTACAGTCCCACCAAAAATGTACTTGTAGCAAAGAACCAGACAGGAAAAACACAAAGTACTTTTGCAACTAACATTTAAAATCAGCATGAATGCAATCAGTGTTCCAATATAGCATGTGATGGGGCTGAGCATAAGTCTGTACTATGGTTCCCAAATCACATTTACAAAAGACCAAGAACAGTTAGTCAAATGTCTTGATTGCTAGGGGTAGCAATAAGTATCTTGGGATTGGTAAATATATCCATTTATCTTGATTATTAGTTGCCATTTGCAACATTATTATATCCTGTCCTAGGTGGATGATAACAGAAACTCAAATTTGTAGTTTCCATATCCTCAAGATCACCTTCATGTACGTATATATGTCATTTCTGCATAGGATGACAGAGGTATTTTTTTCTCCCTTAAAGATACACAACCTTTATACAATAGCTACAAAACTAATTATATAAAATAATGCATCGGTTTTTGAGCTAACATATATTCAAAATGCAGACACATGACAATCTCCAGAACTAGAATTTGCATGATTTACTGATATAAGGCTGCTGGTTTTATTCTTACTAAGAAGAGGAAAGAATGGGAATGGTACAGCCTTTTTTTGTACACGCAACAAAAACAAGGCAAATATAAACCCTATAATTTGATTGACTTCCACTGCATACAAAACCATACATCAACCAGCATTCCTGCTGTTCTTCAGCTGGTGATCATGCTCTACCCCAGACACTCAGCTTAAGACATTTAAATTAAAGTGTTCTTAAGTTATGTCTAAGGTACCACTAAAATAAAGACACAGAGGCAATGCAGTAGAGGCATTTATGCAGCATATTCTGAAGACAACACCAACATTTGATAATGGAGTAGTTCCAAGATGCTGCAGGCTGCACTGGCTGTCCACTGTGGCTGCCCACAAGGAGCACCTAGGATGCCAAAGGTTTACTCACCTCAGCAAATGCAGGGACTGGGACAATGCTGTCTTAGTAAGACAATTTTGGTTAAAGACATAAATCTTGGATACTTGTAAACATCTCAGATGTCTCAGTAAGATAGAATTTTGTTGGAGTCTTCCTGATCTTCAAGACTCCTCCTTAATTTCTAGCTGATCACACTGCGCCACCAGTAAGTTTCCATTACCAGAAAGATGTTAAGTTCCCCAGAGTTATCCAGTTTCCCAGGCATCTGTCAGCCCCACTGGGAACACTATGGAAACCCTAAGAAAACTAAAATGCTGCTAGATGCCCAGATTTCAGCACCAAAATTAAACCTTGCAAAGGCAGCTTGAAAACCTGTTTTTATAAGTGGACACCTACAAGAAATGTGTGCGTTGTATGGGTGCACGTGTGCATCTTATACACAAATACATTTCTTAGTGCCGTCAGAAAAGGTTTAAAATGTTTTTACATCCTGCCTCAAAAGAAGGCTTAATCAAAAGATCAGTAGCAAAAACTGATATTTCTCTTCACATTATGATTTGAGCCTACTACCTTTAATCACATCTAAATCTTCTAAAATACTCATTTAATCCCCATTTTCTTGTCATTGCCACTTCTGGACAGATTTAACAGTTTGCAATTATTTGTTTCATGATACCTCATATCAATGCTACTCAGAACAAGAACTCTGGCTGCCCACAGCAATGTAATTCCTTCAAAGAGTGAAAGGCTGCTGACCATGCAGCTGTACCACCCCTCCTGCTGCCCACTGTTTGTAAGGGCAGCAGCAGAGAAAGGAATTCTTTTATATTCTTACAATTCAAATACAATTCCTTCAAACAGGAAATGCAGAAAAGTCAAAATCAAAATAAAACAGTGAGTGGTGGTATAAAAAATATTATAGGGGAAAGGAGGAAATCGGAAGAGCAGAGCAGAAGAAGCATATATAAGGTAATATAGTTCTTTTCTCCTGAGTCAGCGTATTTCCTCCCTATCCCTAGCACACAGATGAATGGCATAGTAATCAAAAATAATAACAGAGAAAGCATAAAATTGACGCTAGGCTATGGAATGAGAAGAACATAGATAAAGTGATACCATATCATTCATACTGAGATTATTCACACAAATAATCAGGACAAAAAACTAAATCACCGACAGAGCTGTAACTCAGATTTCACTTTCCAGACACCTTCATTTGCACAATACCTGTCTCATCAGGCTTTCCAATTGAAGTGTTTATTTTCTTTTTATCAAAGACAATTACAAAATCTTCAGGTTAGGACAATGCAAGAAGACAACCATGCATGTTGATAAATGTACTGGTAACAAATATAGTACTCCAATTTGTAAACACACACTGCAATATTGACTGTGTTAAGCATTATCAGTCAAATTTAAAGCTAGAGTTATTAAAAGCTCTATTTTGGAGGGATTCCTTTAAAATAAACCTAGTATGCCTTATCTCAACTTGCAGACTTAATAAAAACCACACAAATTATCTTTAAAAAAAAAACAATGAGGTTAGTTATTGATATTTCAAAGTCAGGGGGGCATTAACTCAGCTTTTGCTGCATTTTCTGTCTAAAAAGCACTAACTCACATTTACTAGTTAACTTGTCATCTAAACATGAACACACTTTACAGATGGGTAAAAAAAAAAGTTGCTTTCAAATCTTATATCGCTGATCACTAAAATAGTTTCATTTTAATTCTCTGAGTTCAGCTGAGGTTCTCACAAACCTGGAACCAAAACCTCAAATCTAAAAACCTACACCTTACTACATACGTGCTTTGCAACGTCGTTTAAATTTTTTTTAAAAATCATTTCTGATACAAATGCTAGATATACTCAAAATGCCATGAAGACTGTACTTCCCCGGGAATTTTATTCCATTACGTTCCAGTGACAGGCAGATACCCAGTACGGAAAACGCGCAGCCCGACCACAGGCAGCGGTGTAAGTCATTCCCGTTTCACAGCCCAGCAGCGCCAGACACAGCTCGGTGGCTGTCCCCAGCCTCCAGGACCCCTCCGGCACCGATGTACCTGTGCCTGCCCACGGCCGGCTGGAAGCAGGGCGACCCCAGCTGAAGCCGGCTCGCTCCGCTCTGCGCGGTACGGAGGGGAAGCGGGTGGGCACAGGGGGGTTTCAGGCAGGTGTCGGGGTGCCCCAGTGCCCACAGCCCGAGAAGAGCGCTTTCTCTCTTGAATAAGGGGCCAGCCGCGATGTCGCTACAAAGCGGGGGACCCGATGAGCCCGCGGTGCCCAGCCCGGCCACCAGCACCACCCACCCAGCGCCGCCGGCGGCACCGAATAAAAACCCGGCGGCCCCGGTGCCTCCTGCCCCGCCAGTTCTGCCTCACCTGCCCGCGGGACCTCCGGGACGCCGCCGAGCGGGCCGAGCCGCCGCAGCTGGAAAACTTTCCGGACCGCCTCGCAGCTCGGCGGCGGCTCCGCACCCTCCGAGGCGGCGGCCAGGAGCAGGATGCTGATGGTCAAGACACCGAGGAGGAAGCTCTTTCCCCCCATGGCCCCCGACCGCCGCCCGCTGCCGCAGGGACGCGGCCGAGGCGCCCCGAGCCGCCGCCGCGGGGGGAGGCACCGCCCGCCGCCCCCGCCGGGACCCTCCCCCGGCCCGGCCCGGCCCGGCCCCCGCCCGAGGAGGAGCCCCACGCCCAGGGCAGCAGCGGGAGGGCACTGCCCAGAGCCCGTGGTGGGGCTGGGGACCAGGGGAAACAGCCGTGCGCCTTACCGCGTACACCCGGGGTGCCGGAGTGCGGGCTGCGGAGGAGAAACCCAAAGGCAAAGGAAGCGCTGACATGGTAGAGGAGCAATTTCGACCCAAAAACACGAAAAAAAAAATTACAGCGCTTTGGGGAGCTGCTAGCAGCAGGGTTAACACTGTCAGTAAGGTACGCCGTTCAGTTTGGCTTGAAATGCCAAACTTTTGTTTTTCTGACAAGTTTCCAAGAATTCGGCAGTCTTCAGGGCATCTTCAGAAGTTTCAGTTTCCTGAGGCAAACGTGACACGGGACCAATTTACAAATCTATGTCCTGTCTACAAGCTGAAGTCCGATGGGAACGTATAGCACCAAGGAAGCAGGTGGGAGGCATCAGGTTATCTTTTAGAACAGCCTTCTTGATGCCAAAATCAAGAATAATCTCCGTGCACAAATTTTAGATGTCACACCTTACCCCTTGCAGCCAGAATTTTTTCTTAGCGTCTTCGAAGCTGCAAGTGGTCATTCAGTGTAAGGCTTTCAATTTGAAAGAAATCTTTAATCTGTGCCAGCAATTTCAACACATGACTGCAAAACCGGTTCTAAGTGTGGATTATTCCACACATTTATTTTAATTCAGTTAACAAACCGAAACATAAGTTATTAAAATTTGCACTAGAGATCAACCACTACTGAGCAAGCAATAAAACAATGCCATTTCCAGTCTGCTGAATGAGAACTCATAAGGGGAGAGGACTGGTATTTCTCAATCATCCATACTCCTGGGCTTGGCAACTTCCTTCTGTCAGCAAGCTCCAACAGAGATTATATGAAATGTCCTTTAACAGAATTTGTTGTACCTTTCTTATACATTGATGTATAAAGAGTGAACACAGTTGACAGGTTACAATCTTCTTGATAAAGCACACTACAGCAAAAGACATTTTAGGCCCCCACAAAAAAAAAGAGGGGAGGGAGGGAAGAGAACAGTGAGTCCTACTGCAAATAAAAAGATTTGGTTTAGATTAAAGTAAATAAATAAAAAAATAAATTGCAATGTCTTGTATAGAAGCTGATAGTAGGCAGTGAACCCCTTGCCATTCAAGAAAATAGTCTTTTTAAAGATACTGAAAAATACCACTGGGGAAAACAACCTGAACATGGGAGCCAGAGAACATTCAGCAACTTGAAGATGGTAGAGCAAATTCTGGAAATTATGAAATGCCATCCTCAACACCTAATGCAAGATGTTCAGCACTCACAGTAAACTTATGAAAAAATGAAGTACTACTATTCAGGGAAAAATTCTTGCAAGTTAAGAAAATTTACAGATTTCCTACTTACAGATTTCTCCTTTACCCCACAACCACATGGAAGTTTGCCTACAGCAATAGATGATGCTGGGAAATCTTTAGAACCCCTTTGCTTCAAATGGAACCAGTAATTCCTCATGTCCTCCACAAATAGCAAATCAGAGAAACCTCTATCCTCCAACTCTACAGTTTAGGGGAAGAGGGAGGTTTTTGGTAAGAAATTGAATGTACATGTTTTAACTAGATCTTGCCATATGAGAAAGATTCTAGTTTGTTGGGGAATTTGGAGAGTTGGTCTTTCAATTTTTATTTTTTGTTAATAATTTTAGCATAAGAAGTTGAAGGAAATAATTTTTTGCTCCATTAGAAGACTGAGTTTAATTTCAGGTTATATGCTTCAAAGCTTCCCTGATTTTAGTGTGTATTTTAGCTTAAAATGTGTATTTTATCTTAAAATGTGTATTTTAGCTAACAAGTTTCAAGAATTAATTATTCTGGGATGTACTAGACTGAATGTATATTTGCTAGTGCTGTTTAGCTAGTAATGAGCAGGCTCCTGTCTGTTGCCATAGGGCTTACTTTTGTGACTGTATTTTGAATCTACTGCTTTTTAGTGGGCACATTTTCCTTTTGCTTACTGTATTTGCTTACTGTATTTTGCTTTACCACCTTAGTGTATTGTGCCTGGGAATGCTTTGGTAACAGCCATTCAGATGTGCCTCCAAAGGATGGCATGTGGCCAGAGTGTGGTGGCTGCTGTTCCTGGATAGGCTGGAACTTCAGTCTGAACTTGAGTTGAAAGGTCTGTGACCTGTGAATGAATCCAGGATGGAGAACCCCATGCCAGAGCAGGTGGATGCCTGAAAGAGGATGTGACCCTGTGAGATGTCTGTGATGAAGCAGGTTTGCAGAAAAAAGGAACCCCCCTCATTTTAGTATGAGAATATATATACATAAATATGGAGTTTATGAGAGAACATTAGCGTTGGCTAGACTTGTATCTTCTTGGCCAAATCCTGAACATACACACCTGATGGCTCCTCATGCACGTCTAGCTGTTAGCACGACTTAAGAATACCCCTTCTACAAATTCTCCTTTTGCCTCTTTTCCTTAATAACAAACAATACCCCTCTATTACCTGAAACACTGGTGCAATGCCAGAGGAGGATCTTCAATTTATCCCTCCAAATGACAGGAAGCTAAAGTGAAGCTTTCTATTATTTTTGGAACACAGCTAAGTTTCCTCCTCATCTAAGCAAATGACATTCTCCTTTGGACTGTCATCTTGTAACAAATGAAAACACTTTATATGGCTGTGCCACCTTTCCTGTTTTCATTTCTTCAGAGAGCTACTACAAAAATAACCCTTTCCAACCTGTTGCTTAGACCATGTTCACTTTTCTCATATTCCTTATTGTGTCAAACACAAGTTGCTTGGCTGCGGTTGCATATCCTTCTAAGTGGTCCCCTCTCAGGATGCAAAGGGGAGTTTCTACTTCCCAAGGACTACAGCACCTGTCTCCACATTCTGAAATGATCATATACTTTCATGCTATTTATTCTCATGTATCTGAAAGTAGTTCAAACATCTATTAAGCTGCCTCATAGTAAAAAGATTTGAAAAGTGATTTAGAAGAATAAGTGTTTTGACTATTATTTTTATACATACCACAGTAAAGGAAGGAAATCAATCTTTATTGATTAAGGAGACAGACTAGTGTCTGTGTTGACTGCTATGTTCACATCATCTCTCAGTGTCAAATTCTATTTCTGATCTAATATATGCTCTCTGTAAGTTCTTGGTTTTGATAACATCCTTTTGATTTTTATATATCTTTGAACAGAATAGGGATCCTAGGACTGAAACAGAACTTCTTGAAGTTACAAGAACAGCATGGGGAGGAAAAACAACAAAACAAAAACCACACAACAAATCACCAACTTTTTCTTCAGTAATACAGAGCTATTATAATAATTCTGTAGGTTTATTGAATCCAAAAACCCACAACCAAAAAGACAAAAAAAAAAAAAAAAGCCAAACCCAAACAATTCTCTTATTTTAGGTTGGGATAATAAAGCTAGTGAAGTAGGACTAAAAGGTACACAGCATTTGTATTCATAACAATACCACACTTACCAACGATACCATAAACTTAGTAAGGCCTGTAAAACTTCACGCACAACTCTTAATTCATCTAATCGTTCATTAAAAGTAGAGCTGAAAGAATTTATACTAGTCTTGCAACATTTTTACCTGATTTTGAAATAAATTCTCTATAATGTTGATTGGGATATTTTGATGTTTTTAAAAGAAGGGAAAAATATTAATTTTAATTGAAATTTATTTTGAACTCTTAATGAGAAAACTGTATTATTGTTTCATGCTTCCAACGACAAAGAATTATCAGCTGAAAACTCAGGCAGGGACACACAAGAGAGAGCACTGCGGAAACAGATGCAGACCACATAGGAATACATTACAATCATAGTAAAGTTTGGAAAGGACCTTTAAAGGTCCTCTAAGTCCAATTCCCCTGTGACGAGCAGGGACATCTTCAACAATGACAGACGCCCAGCATTGCTCCTCCCGCCCCCGAGCACGCAGCAGATGCTCTTCTTCCATTAACTTCAGCTGAGGCTTCCCCCGCGCATTACGGTCCCAGCATCCCTTCTGTCCCAGCGCCTGGCCTCTCCATAACGCTTTGCACGCTCTTCATCTCCCAGGTGAAATCAGCCGGCCGCTGTCACCAGGAACAGCCGCTGGCAGGCAGAGCCGAGGCAGTGCTGCACCTGCCGCTGCTCCCGGGGACTGCCCCGCTCCCGCAGGTGCACCCTTGGCTTGGGGACATGGGGATGCGGGGAAAGATCTCCCCGTCATCCACCATCACACCCCCGGCCCCGAGCTCTGCAGTACTGACTTCCCACTTCTATTGAAAAGGGTGCAGAAGTTCAGACCTGGGATCCTGCCTACACCGACACAGCTTCCGTTCTTCACAGTAATTCCAAATTCCAGTACTGACTTCAGAAGGTAATTGCACATCTATTTTCATAAAGGTTTTATTCATTTAATAATTTATACTTCAAACATAGCTCAGCAGTCAGCCCTTTACTCTCAAAAGTACTTCTTACTGCTAGTACACTGTTTCCATGGAGACTTCCTTAGATATTCTGGGGTGAACACTCTTAATCTCTTATTTTCTTTTCATTTCAAAAATTAGGACAGACCTAGGCACTCCTGAAAGGCAGTAAAGGTTTAAGTTTCCATTAGTAACAACTCCCATGCATCTATTTTTACATTACTAGGAGCTACACGCTGCCAATGTTGAATAGGTGACCTACCTCACCATTAGGTCCCCCCCTGAACTGACACACTAAGGTGAAGAATTCATAGCAAGTCTCAAATTTAGAGCAAAACACAGTAACTAAGTATCAAAGAAAATTAATGCAGTCACCTTCATTTTCTTTAATACCATTCATACATTCAAGATTCAAGTG